TTGAAATATTAAAGGCGTTTTGAGCCAAATACGCCTTCAATCATCCATCCAAACTTTTGTCTATGGATTATTGATGGCATTTTTGACAAAAATCACCTTTAATAATCACAACATATAATTTATTGATTGGAGTATAGAAGGCGAGTTCGACTAAAAACGTCTTTAAGAATCGGCTCCATATTTTTTTTTATGGATTATTAAGGGCGTTTCTCTGTGAAAAACGCCTTCAATATTCTTTGTAAAATTTTTTAAAACAATTGGTGAAGGTGTTTCCACCAAAAAAATGCCTACAATAATCAAGTGCAAATAATCTTTGTGAAAATCCAAAAAAGGCTAAAAGTAGGGATCGAACCTACAACTTTATGGTTAATATCTGTACGATCGAAACATTTTGATATGATATTTATTGAAGGTATTTTTTAACAAAAATGACTTCAATAAGCCTGTGAAATTTTTTAGTACAATTATTAAAGGCATTTCTTATAGAAAATGCCTTCAATAATCTTATATAATTTTTTATTAGGTGATTATTGAAGGTGTTGTCTACTAAAAACATGTATTTTAGTATTCACTGAAAATTTTAAGGCAAGATTATTCAAGGCGTTTTAGTTGAGAAACGCCGTTGATATCAAGTCTTGGGTGACGTTTATGAGTAACAATGCCGTAATTTGAATATTTAGTGATATTTTAATAATAAACATCTTAAGTTTTATAAAAACACAGAAGCTAGCGGCGTTTGTAAGTGAATGGTCACTACAAAACTATCGCTAATATGCCATTTTCTTGTAGTGATAGGTAGTAGATTTTCAGGAGGCATATTACTCACAAAAATTATTAAAATATATGGATACTTCAATGACTAATATATAAGATAAAATTTGACTGTGTCAATATTATTATTATTTTCGATCTAAATTAATAGCAGGTTTTAATTTGAAATTTAGTTTAATCAATCTTAAAAATTGATATATAATAAATTTAAAATTTAAAATTTAATACTTAAAATATCTTTTTTCTATCCTCATTATAATTAAAAAAAAAAAAACCCTAATCTTCTTAACGATCGTAACATGCTTTCACTTTACGTTTTTTACGATCATCAATTCAGAGTCTTGGGTTTTCCGCTAAAACTCTTCCCTTCCAACTATTCAAAAGGTTTGATAAAAATTTCAAACAAAAATAGAAAGATTGGAAAGGAAAGAATAGTATTCGACTTCCCTCTAATTCTTTCAATGTTCTATTGGAATGTGCATGTTTAGAATGAAGAATAACACTTCATTTTCTTTTTATTTTGAATTTGAATTGTTCAAATCACACTTTATTATTGTAAATTTATTTATTACAGCGATATGCTTTCTGAATTGTTATATATTTTTAATACGATGAATATTGAAAAATATATGGTTGGTTATATATGTAATGAAAAATATGCTTTTTCTGTTCAAAATGTGATTTTTTTTAGTATGACGACTTAAATGTTATATACATTTTTTATGATAAAAATTTTTTGAGACTTATTTCGTGTGTGTGTGTGTGTGTCTATATATATATATATATATATATATATATTTGGATCAGTTTAAAATTTATGTAGGTAAACTTAAAAAATTTATGAGAAATTATCTTCTTATAATTTTTAATAAAATTGAACTTAAATAACAAAGGAAGGAGTATATTCTTTTTGTCACTTTAACTAATCATCTCATTAAAATAATATTGTCCGCATATGTTAAATATTAAGTTTTTGTGATTATATATTTAAATTGAGTTTCTTCATTTATTACTAATCTATTATAGATTGGATGCATGTTAGAGTCTAAATTTGATTGTGTTACTTTTCTTCAGCTTTATCACGTTATAGGGGCTTCTGGCTTCTTAAAGTCCATTCCTATTAGATTTATTTTTTAAAACACTAAACATGAAGAATTAATTTAAGAGGGGAGACACAGCACCGGCATGAGTCAGTAGTCAACGTCCCCTTGACGAGGGTGATTGTATATGTATATGCAACTTGCTCCATATGAAAATATTACAGTTTCTGGTCATGCATAGACTGGACTAAGCGACTCCAATGGAAATTAACGATGATTCGTCGCCCTTTGATTTTCTAAACACTGAATTATTGTACCAACTTGCGCAGATAACAAATGACATTGATTTCCATTGCCTTGTCTACGAAGACGATTCAGACTGAATTGTCTACCACATTTCTCAATGTTCATGCTCTTATTCCCATCCTACGGGAGTAATAAGATCTAGGATTCCTTGAATCTATTAATCTTGTATAACTCAAAGCTCTTTAAAACTTGAGAAACCATAACCCTCTTCTCCTTAGACCTTATCCATGGCGGCCATTTTGTTAATTCTTCTTGTTCTTCTGTCTATCATTTCGACTGAAGTAGCTCAACCAAGGAATTCCAATATAACTCTGGGCTCATCTTTAACACCCACAGGACAATCCGCATGGCTTTCCCCTTCTGGACTATAGCCTTTGGGTTTTATCAGCAAGGAAAGGGCTATGCTGTTAAAATTTTTCTTGCTGTAGTTTCGCGAAATACAGTGGTTTGGACAGCCAACCGAGATGATCCTCCTGTTCCAGGCACTGCTTCTTACGACTGATGGAAGGCTCATTATTCAATCACCGCAAGGACGAGACATATACATCACTGATTCTTCTGTCAAAGTTGCCACTGCTTCGATGCTTGATACTGGCAATTTTGTGCTATTCAACTCTGACCACAACATAACATGGCAGAGCTTCGAACATCCAACCACTACCATTCTACAAGGACAGCGTCTCTTAGCTGGGGTGGAGCTGTTGTCTAGCGTTTCAGAGACTGACCAGTCAACAGGAATATTTCGTCTTAAGATGCAAACTGATGGAAACCTTGTACAGTACCCTGTGGGAACTCCAGACGCACCAGCTTATGCTTATTGGTCTGCTGGCACAGGTGGTATTGGAAGTAATGTGAGCTTGAATCTTGATAATGATGGTCATTTGTACCTGCTCAATTCCACAGGCTTCAACATACATAATCTAACAATAGTAGGTTATGATACAAATGGAACAATTTATCTGATGAAAATGAATCCTGATGGCATCTTCCGACTCTATTCTTACAGACTCAATCAGAATGGGAATCAGTCAATTATATGGCCATCTACGAATGACAAGTGTAATCCCAAGGGTCGATGTAGGCTTAATGGCTATTGCGTTAATGAAGATACAGAAGCTGAATGTAGATGTCTTCCAGGATTTGCTCCAGTTATAGAGGGAAACTTCAGTGCTGGCTGCGAAAGGGATTTCTCCAGCGAGAGCTGCAAAAGTGATGATGAGAGAATCAAGTACATAATTCAGGCAGTCGAAAACACTGAATGGGAAGATAACGCATATTCTGTTCTGTCTTTAACAACCAAAGAAGCAAGTGAGACAGCATGTTTCGAGGATTGTGCATGTCAAGTGGCCATGTTTAAAGCTGGAAAGTGCACGAAGCAAATGCTTCCTCTGAGATATGGGAGAAGGAATCTTAATAATTCAAACATAACTTTGATCAAGGTAGGTATATCTGCATCCAATGAATCAAGAAAACATGATGTGCCTAAAGCTGGAAAGGAAAAAAATCAAATGCACTTTCTAATTATTGGTCTTTCACTGATTGGCTTCGCTATCATAGGGTTGGTAATTTCTGGGACTTTGATTCATAGGAGTCATGTTTTCAGATACAAAAGGTTTCCTACTGATATCAATATATGAATGTGCGCGAATGTTGCTTCTATGTCATTTACTTTTGCAGAAATTGAGCAGATGACTCATAACTTCAAGGAAGAAATTGGAAAAGGAGCATTTGGAACAGTTTACAAAGGGACAATAATGTTGGATGGCTTGAAGGTGGTTGGAGTGAAGAGATTGGACAAAGTATCAAATCAAGGAGAACGAGAGTTTCAAACCGAGATGAAAATTATTGGCAGAAGTCATCATCGAAATTTAGTTCGACTACTAGGCTACTGTCATGATGGAGCTAATAGGCTATTGATATATGAGTACATGATCAATGGGTGACTCGCAGATGTACTCTTTACACCTGAAAAGCGACCTTGCTGGAATGAGAGGGTGGAAATTGCTCGCAACATAGCCAGAGGTCTCCTCTATCTTCATGAAGAGTGCGAGACTCAAATAATCCATTGTGACATCAAATCTCAAAATATACTAATGGATGAACATGGGCAAGCAAAAATATCTGATTTTGGATTGGCCAAGCTGCTAAAGCCAGACCAAACTAAAACCTTTATTGGGATCAGAGGAACAAGGGGGTATGTTGCACCAGAGTGGCAAAAGAAACTGCCAGTAACAGTCAAAGCAGACGTTTAAAGCTTTGGAGTCGTAGTATTGGAGATCATATGTTGCCGACGAAGTGTGGATTGGAGCCTTCATGAGGAAGAAGCTGTCCTTGAAGAATGGGTCTACAATTGTTTTCAAGCTGGTGAACTACGGAAACTAGTAGGGGTAGGTGAAGAAGAGATTGACGAGAAACAATTGGAAAGAATGGTCAGAGCGGGACTATGGTGTGTCCTGGATGAGCCAACACTCCGCCCTTCCATGAAGAAGGACCTGTTGATGTTGGAAGGGACAGTTGAGATCCCAGTACCTCCCAGCCCAACTTCATTTTTCAGTGCTATTTAATTGTCTCAAGCTTTTGAGATTTTTATATGCTTTTACCCTTTCTTTGTATTTGCTGAAATAATTTACGACACGTCGAATAAATTAAGCTTGTAAAATTAACCAAAGGATTGCTTCTTACCACTGATTGTATTATTAATAAATTTCTTGTGCAAAGTTTCAAGATGGAAATCTTGACAATAGGAGAAATAAGTTTCATATAAAAGCAGGGGAATATGTCTTGTATTTGGTTCAGGAAATGTTGTAACATTTGTTTCCAAAAGTTTTTAGTTGAGCAACTATTGTAAAATTCGCCATAATAGGGATTAATTTGCAAAAATTAATAAAATTTATGAGAACCTTAGCCTCAAGTTCAAATAAAGAGTAGATAACTTCTTTTCATTTTCTATTATTAGAAAGTACAACATTTATCTCTGTCCTAATTCGATGCATGAAACTAGTTGGACTCCTCAAGGTTGTTACCATGAACAACAATTCCATAGACAAGAGTAGCTCTGGTTATCCAAGTCTTCTTAATTACAATCATTCATCAAAACTGTTTTACAAGTGAAATGTGACAAAATGCCCCACTTTTAAGTGCCCCTATTGTTTGCCAGGATTTTCCTTCGTTTTGTTAGCTTCATGTTAAATGAAGGAAACAAAAAGTATCATCAATTGCTTGAATCTTACAATAATTTGCACTTGACACTGTGTCTCTCCGTTGCTAGCACTTGGATGCTTTGTTCAAAGCATCGAATACACTCTGTAGAGTTATCTCCTCAACAATTACCACCTTATCTCGTGATTTAGAGCCAGAACCTATTGAAACCTGCCTTCGTTTGACCCCCAAAACCTGCCATTTGAGAAGAATTATAAGTTTTAAGATTTCACTACATTAATTATTTTATAACCCGGTAACAAAGCATAAAGAATGAAAGGGTGACAGGGGAGAGAGTGTCTTTATGAGAAAAATACTTAAAAAGAATATGACATAAACCTTTTGGTTAACAAATTATTAAAGTTATTCCAGATTTCCAGTACAACCATCAACCGAGATAAAAATTGCTCTTAATATGAATATCCACTCCAGTCCACATACAGACACATTATCATATGAATAAGCTTATAATATAGAAACATAGGCACATTTTCTAAGAATTGACAAGTTAATCATTTCCTTCAGCTCAATTTAAAGAACATAAAGAGTGAATTATTTAGCAGCTACCTACTATGGAAAAAAAAAGATGTATATCTTGTAGCCATAAACATTAACATTTACAACTGCTTTTTCCCAGAAGAATAAAAGTTCACAGTCACAATCATCGATGACTTCCAAGAAACATATCCTGGATATTTGCAGATATCACTGATCTCGATTAGTCAATGTAGTTCAGGATCATCTTTTTGTCTTTTATCTCAATTATGCTCTATTAAGTCTTATTCTTACTTCCTTCAGTGAATCAGTCTTAACATATAATATTGATGGTCCACAATCATAATAATCCTTTCTCCAAGCCAAAAAATTTACACAAACTCCTCATCCTGCACCAAATGAAACCTGAATGGACACAATGTATGAAACATGGGACTGCTACATGTATACATAAATTAAATATTTCAGAAGCTAAAAGTATATGGATATTTCCTATCAGTGGGATAGTAGATTATGGCGGAAGCCTAATTGAACTGGAAAGTTCCAGGTAAAATCCTTCAATCTAGAGATGCAAGATGACATGGCAAGCAAATGTTCCTAGAGGAGTAGGCAGATTTTGGTATAATAGCCAAAGTCACTTTTTCTGTAATGGCATAGCTCTATTTCGCTGAATTTAAGCTATCGAAAACTAACAGAAGGAAAATGATTTTTTAACAAGCCGATAGCAAATAAATAAGAAAGATGGGCAGGCAGAGTTCAAGGCCTCATGATAGATTGATTTATTTTCTTATCATAAGAATTCAATCTCACAAAATGATGACTATAGTAAATGTAAAGCAGCTACCTAGTTGGAAAATGGGTTTTACTCTTTAAATGGAATCCGTATATATATATATACACACTATAAATTTTGATGATTCGTAACCAAAATCAATTCCCAAAATTATGAAGCAAAAATTGAAGAAAGAAAAAGAACAGACCGAGCTAATATAATCAAGAAGAGCCGCGTTAGCTTCACCGTCTTTGGCAGGTGCGTCTATCTGGACCCCTACGGCGTCCTCGCCGAAATCTGGGCTCAACACAATTTTTTTTAAAAATATTATTAAGGTAAAAGAATAGGGAAGGTGAATGATAGAAATTAAAAAAAAAAGGAGTTTTAAAGAAATATAATAATAAAAAGTAGTAGACCGGTGATGGAGGAAGATTTGGCGCCGGGCTTGGCGTGTATGGTGATGGCAACAGACGAGGGAGGAACCAAGCGGATGGACGATGGGAATTTGGAGTTGTTTTTGGAGGACTGAGTTGGCTCTGCCTTCTCTGCCTTGGCTTTCCCCTTCTTCGCTGGAGCCATTTTTTTTTTTTTTTTTTTTAATTTCGCTTTGCGAATAAACAACGACGAGGGGTAGAAGTGAAGGATAACTTGGCGAGTCGGTCAGATCCGTTTAACAACTTGCTGGGTTCGACAGTTGGATTTAGGAATACGACGGAAATGGGAAGTCATTATCTTTTGGGTATGACCCGACTGTTTTGGGTGGGGTTGATTTCGGATTCGGGTTGTTTTAATTGCTATCTTAATTTAAAAAAAAAAAATCAGAAAGGATAAACTGACTTACCTCACCACTAATCTCTAGTAATTGCCTACCAAAGACAATATGAATTAACAAATCTAGGTATCAAACCCAAACGACCACATTTGCATTTTAACACAAAGAAATGAATCCTCTAACCAAACTTTGTTTTCTAGAAATGATAGGGTGATATTTAAAAGAAAAAAATGAAAACTGAAAATTAAAAAAATATAAATTAAATTTTTTTTTTGTTTTTGTTTTAGAAAGGAGTCATGCATAAACTTATAAAGTTATTCAATACATCATCATTCAGTAGTCTCAGCTAATAAAAAAAGAGAGTACACAATTAGGAGGAACAAAAAAAGATTAAAAAAGGATAGGGCTAGGATCATTTGAAGAGTTTAGCAAAGTTGCAACACTTTCCCTCATAGCTAGAGCATCTGCACTCCTATTTCTTTCATGTAAAATATGCCTTACCATAGTCTATTAGAAGCTTATCAACATCATCCTGCAATCACAAACTAAGGTGTTAAAAAATAGGTTGGTATGTTCAGCATTTTTTATAAAGTTTATTACCATTGTGGCATCTAGTTCCACTTCAAGTTTTTGGACACTTGCATTCAATGGCAAGCTTGATACCATCCTTAAGTGCCCATAATTTTGCCTCAACATTGGGGATCTTGACATATGTCGATACAATCATTCTATCATTGCCTTATCTGATCTCATAGGATTGCTCTAGTTCTGACCTTTTTTGGGTTTCCAAATGATGAGCCATCTGTATTGAGTTTATGCCAACCTTGTAGGGGTAGTTTCCATGGAACCCTAACGAATGTAAGTAATGGCACTCTTTTGGTTTCTCCCATGATCGCTTGGAACTTTTTTGCTCGTTCTATGGCTTTGGGAAGAACCATTGCTGAATCAAATCTTCCTTTAAATATTAGCTTATTCCTGGCTGTTTATATTTCCCATATTATGAAGGTGAACATGACTTTCCATGGCACTTTGTGGTTGTTAAGAAAATGGTTGGAAGTGGCATTGAATTGCAACCATTCGGTTCATGAGGTAAAGTTTTCATATTGCCCCTGAGATGGAGTTTTTACTTCTTCTTACCAAAATAATACCGTAGGGCATTTGATAAACAAGTGGACTAAAGCTTTTTCCCTAGTTTGATAGGAAAGGCACCCATTTTGTATTTCCATCCCTCACCTTTTAAGGTACACCCTTATTGGAAAATTTTGGTACATTCATTCCCATAGAAAAATTGTAGCTTGGAATAAATATTTTGTTACCAAATCCACGTCCACCTTTTTTTCTCTTCGAATTAGACTTACAATTTATCATAGGAGGTGAGCTTATAAGCACTACCTAGTGAGAGACCCAATACCACCCTGCCCTATCCAATTATCAAGCAATAAGTTTATCTTGGCTTTATTCTGAACAATCCACCTTATCCCATCTTTAAGATGATGTTAGCATTTTCTCAATGACTTTCACACAATTGAAATATTAGAGTTCTTGAAATTTCTTTTAAAAAGGTAATTGTTACCAAGCACCTTCGTTCATAGATCTTTTTGCTAGTGGACCATACTCCAACATAGTTTGGTGAGAAAAGCTTAATTTTAGGGTTGGCTTCTTTTTAAACCCAGACCATCTTCCTCATTGGGTTTAGTGACCTTGATTTATTTTAGTTTATGAAGTTTTCTATTACTTTCCCTTTTTCCCTAAAGGAATTTACGATTCATCCTATCAAGTTTGAGGTAAGTAGAGGTTGGAAGTGCTCTGTATGAAGTACGTAGGTATTGCTACCGTGGTGGACTAGATAAGAACCATGCGACCTGTTGGTGATAACAACTTGGATTTCCACACTGTGAGCTTATTTCTAACTTTTCCAAGGATAAAATTATAATCTTGCTTCCTCATTCTTCTATAATGCATATGAAAGCCCAAGTACTTGTCAAGCTTTTCAATACTTTTGATACTGAGAGCATTTGTGATCTAGCTTTTTACTTTTGTACTCAGGTTATTGGAAAACAGGATGCGTGACTTATTATTGTTGACATTTTACCCCAATTCTATCATGAATCTATCAAGAACCTTCTTGATTGTAAGGGTTGATTTTTTATCTACCATTGAAAACAAGATTACATCATTTATAAAGAGTGTTGGCTTTATAAGGGTCAGCACCACCTTTTGACTCAGGAAAACATAACTAGCCAATGACTAACCGCTTGACTTATAGTGTTTATGAGGGTGTAGCACCTTATGTTCACCTGTCACTTAGTATGAGGCTCTGCACTATCAAGAATAAGAAAATAAAGTTATGTCTTCATTATCAGCTATAGCTTTTAGTGTAATAGTAAGTGTTTGATCTTGAAACTTAGTATCAAAGTGATGTTCAGGTTCAAGTCTCCTAGGCAAGTGCTAGGGGGTGATTATTGGCTTTATGGGGATCAGTACCACCTTTTAACTTGGGAGAATGTAATTGGTCGAGGACTAACTACCTGATCCATAGCCCTTATAGGGGCGTAACACCTTATGTCCACATGTTATTGAGTATGATGCTCTACACAATCATGAACAAGGAAATAAAGTTGCACCTTCACTATCAGCTATTGTTTTTGGTGTAATGGTAAGTGCTTGATCCTAAAACTAACTTAATGTTTTGTCACTTAAAAATAAGGATCAATTCAAGGCTAACAAAGAGAAAGTGAGATAGAATAGGTGCTTTTCTTGAAACTTGAATTGGATACCATTGTTTCTCTCCACAAGCTTCTTGTATCATTAGGTTAAGATGCTCCATACATAATATAAATATATATAAAGACAATGGATCCCCTTGTCGAATACCTCTAGAGGGTTTAAATTGTGTCAATTTCCTACCATTAACCTTTATAACCAAGCTTGAGGAGGTGATACAACCAATAATTAGTGAAATCCATTTATTAGGAAAATTGAAATAAGTAAAAAATTTCCTAATAAATCTCCATCCTAGCTAATAAGAAGTCTTCAAATCGAGCTTCATAATCATGTTTCCATATCTTTTTTTTTTGTTCTCATTGAGTGTAAAGTTTTTTGAAAAATGATGACATTATCAATGACATTTTTGCCTGGGATGAAGTTTCCTTGGAGGAAGGAGATGAGCTTGCTCAAAAGAGGTATCATCCTTTGAACCATGATTTTTGTCACCAATTAGTAAGTAGTATTGAGCAGATTGATCAACCTAAGCTAGTTCACGATGTTTTATGACTATTTTTCGGAGGCTAGAATGATTAAGGTTTTATTCGAGCCCTCTTGCATTTTTCCCCTATCAAATATTTCATAACAGGTATCACATACCTTTGCTTTGACATTTTCCTAAAAATGTTGGAATAAGAGTGGATGTAGCCCATCCGATCCCAATGCTTTGAAAGGTTTCAAGGACCAAAAAGCTTTTTTGATATCCAATTTAGTAATTGGAGCTAGAAGGCATTGTCTTTCTTCTTCTGTTAATGTTGCCCATTTGAAGTTGTCAAGATCAAGAGTTAAATTTTCATACAACTTAGTTGTAGAGAAGAGTGTTGTGAAGTGCCTTAGAATAATGTTTTCTAAACCTTATTTGCTTATGTTTCATGAGTCGTTGGCATCAAACAATCCCACAATTTTGTTTTTGTACCTTCTCACCAAGGTAGTTGATGGAAAAAGCTTGTATTTCTTTCTCTTTCGATCATCTAGTTGACTCTTGATTTCATGGCCTACAATAATTCCTTATGTTTGAGGATCTCTTGATACTCTCTTATTAGAGTTTTTTGAAGTGCTAAAAGATAGTTACTAGGTCTTTTGGCCAGAGTTCTCTCGATGCTCTTCAATTTAGCCTTGATTCTTTTTTTTTTTTTTTTTGAAGATGTTGCCAAAAGTTTTCTTATTCCAAACTTTGTGGTTATTGGTGAAGGATTAAATTGTTTGAGAAAGTGTCATGTTGTTTGAAGTCCACTGGGCCATTACTACATTCTTAAAATTAGGATAGTCAACCCAAATCCTCTGGAACCTAAAAAGCTTGTTCTTAGCAGTTGGCTTGATCCCTATTGTCATAATGTTCAAGTTTGAGAACTTGCTTATTAGACACAAAAACTATGGAGTTGCCATAAGTATTTTTTACCTAGGTGCGATTTACCACTTATATGAATTTATTTTTTTTAAGGTTATCCTAAGTTTAAATTAAAGGACCTTAAAAAGAATAAGTTATGGTTTACATCAATAGAACTAAGTTCGAGAGCCGGTTACGTGCAGATGAGGTATTAGCACTTTATTATGCCTATAGTTGGTACTAAATTAATCACATACCTAAGTCTTATCAAAGATGGTTCTTTTTTTATCATGCAAATCATACAAAATAAATCAATTTCAATCCATTTTATTTATTTACACAATATTGTCACTAAAAAATTCTATCAAAAATCATGCAAAGATATCATACAATAAATATAAAAAGCATCATGCAATTAATCAAGCCAAAATAATATGCAAAAATATTCATGCAATTATGCAAATATATGATAAATCATACCAACAATATCATGCAATAAATATAAAATCATGTAACAATCATACCAAAAATATCATAAAAAATAAAAAAATAAAAAAAATAAATCATGCAAATAAATAATAAATCATACAAATATATTAATAATAATGCAAATAAATAATATAATCATGCAAATAAATAAAAAATCATGCAAAGTTTTTTTTTTCTCATCTTTTAAGTCAATGAAAAATAAAAAACAAAAAATATATAAAAAATAATGAAAAAAAAGAACCACGAAATAAAAAAAAATCTAGTTTTACCAAACTAATTGAGTTAGGTTTGTTGTAGTGCGCAAATCTCCACTTT